TTTCTTCTCTTTATTATTAGGTTTACTTACTAGCACACGGCAATAAGCTGTTTTACTAACAAAATATGAGATAAAAATTTATTATTATTAATAATAGCTGTTCCCGTGCGATTTACATTATACAATTATTTTATTGTTTATATGTGTCAAATTGTTAATTGCAAATGTCAAAATGACATGCCATGACAAAACTTGACAATCTTGCTTTCTTGATGTTTGTAGCAACTTATGGTCTCTTTCCCACATTAGGGTTTTTATCCAAAATATTTACCCCCTAAGTTTAATGGGATGTGAAAGTAGCGCCAGTGGTGGAGAAATTGAGAAGCAAAAGGTTAGCGTGGTATGGACATGTTGTGCCGACCCTCCATAAGGGATAAGGGCAAGTGGATGATGATGAAGTTTAATGGCCTGAAAATTTATAGCCTAAAGCGTGACGTAAGTATAGGGCTTTTTATTAAAGAAAGAATTATTCAAAAATATGCTGTAATTGCTGACAACTTAGGCAACAAAGTGTGTGTTTACGCTTTATTATAATAGTATAGATAGTATAGATAACTGTTGAAGATGTAACTTAAGTCTTCTTTAAGTATTTTATTAAATATTGCAATATATGTCAAGTTTGTATTATTTCTATTTATTTCCTAATTGTGTTTATTATGCTGTATTGGCCATATGTTATCTGTTGCTACCGAGTTCTACCACTGTAGATGGAAAAAATGTTATTAGTATTTAAATATAAATAATAAAAGGAATTTGGAGGGTGGCACACAATAAAAAGTCAGTCGTCGGAACCCGAATTGTACACACCTATTTAAAACCACGAGTATTCTTTCGTCTCCCCATCGCCGCATCCTTTATAATTACTGTGGGGATTTCTTGGATCTTGTATGTCTTTTACATATTATCTTTTAAAAATATCCTTTAAATATATCCATCCATACAAAGTCACAAGTCATATACATAGAATTAGTTCCATAGTTGCTTAATGAGAATATTTTTTTAAAATATAGATTAAAATACATTTTTACAAACATAACATTTTAATTTCCACATCATTTTAGATATTCTGGTATATCTAAACTGCTTTATAGTTTGTTTATCAGGAAGGTAGTATACTAAATCTGTTTATCTATAGAGAAAAATTAACATCTTATTTGTCAACAGGCTCGGAACAAACCAGCTGACGGAGGCGGCCACGTCAATCAAAAGAATGTCGCCGGACAGAAAGCAACCCCACCCTGCCAAAAAGGTATCAATTCAACTATAATTATTTACGTTGTATTGTTGCTCGCGACTTTACTTACTCAGCGATAACGTAGCTTTTTATTAGTGAAAGAATTTTTGAAATCGGCGCAGAAGTTTTAAAGTTATTTCAGTTATTACAAAAATGCAAATCTTTCCTTTTTGTCTTAGTATAGATGAAAATTAGCAGGTTTTTTTATCTAATCACAACTATCATTACATCATTAACATCGACATTGCAATATTTAATGGTGATGACCTCAGGCTCTAGTGAGAATAGACTGGAGTTTCATCATCCCATCCTTCACCCAATGGACGGATAGCATAGTGTGTACTTCCATACGTCCCCGTCCATACTTTTGGTACCATACCATTTTGGTTTTCGTATGCCTTTGTATTGAAAATTACTAAACTATACCTTTTTAGGTGCATCAACTAAAGGTGGTCCTAAGACTCCAGTTAAGCCATCAGCACAGAAAGGTGCAGCGAAGACCGCGCCACCGAAACAAGCTGCGGCCGCGGCGGTGAAGACTCCGCAAGGAAAAAAGAAGAAAGGCCACAAGCATCAGCAATACGAACTTATTGTCACCATTAATTTGGTAAGTGTACTTATCAGATATACCGAGAGAATTTGTAACATGAAAAATTTAATTCTGGGCACATAAATGACAAGCAAAGTCAAATTTTGCAAACGCCAAAATTTCTTCTAAAACATTCCGACGGGATTTTAACAAAAAAGAACTAAAGAAAACAAAAGATTATCTTACTAGAAACTTCAAATTCTAATCGTATTGCTTTATTATTGCTATTACAAAAAATATCTAGAATATTCCAAAGTTATAAGTAATATTAGGAGGCTATAAATTATTATTTATGTGGTATCATGAGGCTGTAGACAAGATGTTTAGTCAACTGAAATATGTAGCAATTTCAAAAGTTATTTCAAGGATATTGCCTCGCAAAATCTCTAGAGTAAAGTTCTATTGTCTCTTTCTGACAAATGAAACTATAGCTACAGCTATCTCATCTTTACTTCTTCAAGTTCGGGACCAATTTTCCGTAACTTGCTCCCACTAATGCCGGAAGGAAAAAGTTTCAATGTGTTTTCTTACAGCAAATTATATTTGAATCTTCAAACATAAAACCGTAAATAAAAAATAACTTTTATTTTTCATATTCACGCCAAAAAAAATGTAGTTATGGTTTATCTGGCATTAAAAATACACATTCGAATAAAAACTCTTGTAAAAATTTATTCAGCATATCAACTCAATGGGTTATTTATTGACAATAAAATCTACCAGATTAACATGTACAAAAACGATATCCAATTTTCGTAAATCATATAAAAATGTACAAACATTGTTAACCTATGTAACCCGTAAAAAACAATTTCGATTAACTCGTATCGAAAACAGTATAAACAAATGATTATTCTTGTCGGAAAAAACAGATAAAATAAAATTACATTCTCGTCTAGCGTTCGCAGCGGTGATTAAAAAGAATTTAAATTCCATTCACAAAGTCTTGGAGTTTTAAAAATAAAACAGACTTACACCCAGGCATTCGAGCGTTGTTAAAAACGCTGTAGGAAACTGCAATTCTTTTACGATTTCTCTGGTTTAAAAAGTATTGTTTGTTATCTAGGGCTGTCACTAAATCAGAGGTTTCAAAATATGATATTTTAAAGCACATCTTACATTAATTCGCTCTTGTTTTTAATTACTTACTTTTGATGAAACTCTATCATCTTATCGTATTTAAGACTTTGTTAGATAATTGATATTTTTAAATAATTGTGACCATATATTTACTTAGGAACGTAATGGAATCACATTAACAAAATATACTTGAGTTATTAATCTACGTAAAGGACTAATGCTTGGGTGGTCAAGTATCTTATTATTAAGATACTATATACCTATGTATATAAATTTATACATATTTTGACATAGTTTAGTTTATCAAGAAAATTATTGAAACCAATCTCGTTAAAAATCCACCGCAACAGTTGGTTGCTAGAACATCTCAAAGGAGTTACACGGGCCGTCGACAGCCGCGACGCTTGTTGACAGCATTCCGCTCTGCTGCTTTGTTTATAGCTTCTTCACGGCTATTCTATTTATAGTTTCACTGAGATGTGTTATCATATTTTACTGAAATATCGTTTTTAACTTCTTACCTTGGAGAAATACCATATCCTAAAGTCGTGTTTCATCTGACGAGTTAGTTTCAGACCTAGGTAAACCCTTTTATACCTTCTGATAAATCTCATGAGACATTTGTGTTTCACCATGACGGGTGTGTTTCTGGTGATAAATATGTTTAATATTGTGAGGACCTTTCTTGATAGGGCCATTTAAAACACGTGAAAAATGAAACATAAATAAAGTTTACTTAAACATTGTTCTGAACTTTTAACGCCATCTATGTGAACACTCGTACATTAAGAGGTTAGTTATTTGTTTTTTATCATCATAATAGATGGCGCTAAGTCACAAAACGTTATGGAGGGAAATAAAAATTTAAAAATATGCGAAACTAACCTCTATTGCATCTATCAGATGTTTTTTATTAACACAGATCTAATTATCCTAAATATGTATTGCATTTTCAGCCGAAACTGTTCTTACCATTAGACAAACTAAATTTAGTAAAATGTAACCATTCTCTTCTTGCAATAATACTTTACTATGTTAATACGTGCATTTAATAGAATGGAATTTTTTAATGCAAATATCTGTTTTCATTACTACTGATACGATATTTTTAAACCTAGAACGCCAAGAAATCGGTACTATTTAAAACAAAGAGCTGAGTAAATAAAATAATTGACATCTATTAAATCTGGCTCATCCACTGACGTCGCAAAAATAGACACGTTAAATTGCGTTCACTTCGCGAAGCAATGGTAATTGCAAAGAATTAAACACTTCTGCTAAATTAATATATCTTAATTGTTTTGATAAGCCATTATGAAGCTTATACGCACGTTGTAAAGTTGACAATTGATTTACTCAGTAAATGTAGTATCACGCGTCGTGTAGTATCCACAATTTTCCCGCCAAAACAACGCGTTCCTAATGATTTTGTCTGTGCCAAGATTGTAGGAACATTTATCTGTTCTACAATGACCACAATTTTAAAAGTATAAAAAATGTTAATAATAAGGAAGTAACTAAATAGAATTTTATTTCTAAGTAAAATCGATTACAAAGTTTTTAAATTTCATCGGATTAAAAACTTTTTTGTTGATTTTCAGTAAAATAAATACTACCTCATATTTAACCTGATTGTATAACTAAAACATTTTAATCTTACAAATGTAAAACAAGCGCATATTGATACCAAACAAAAAAAAAACTGCAAACATCCGATAAAAATGCAATCAAAACCGACCTACCTGTCACTAAAAAAATCTGTTACCACTGTAGAACGACCACATGTTGTTATAGCGCAAAAATCCAATTTAAATATAGTCTACATATAACAGAGCTGACAATGTCACGCCGCTCGTGTCACTACGAACTTTATCCGTTTGTAATAAAATTAAAAATTTAATCAATTTGCCCGCGTCAATTTATACAGACTACGTAAACATCGTATTTTTTTTTAAATCTGCGAGTGTTTTTTAATAGTTTTGTTCAGTGCCAGTAACATGTGTTAAGATTAAAAATAATAATTTTAGTGTAGTGACAACGCGCCAATTTTAAATTGTGTTGCGTCGATTTTATTGTTTAATTTTATTTTCTTGTTACGTGAAAAATCTTCAAAAAAAATAAAGTGATTGTATTGAATTACAAAATGGCAGATATAGAAACAACTGACGAAATATACAATAAGGAGTACAGAAGAATACGTCGAATAACAAAAGATTTGGCGATTAGGCAGATATCTGTAGGTTTAAAATATTTACTAAATTTGATTAAATAATGTTCATCTATACAAAATCTAACTTATTATTAAGGGAAATTTCAATAGTTAACGTCTTATTGAAGTCTAACTTCGACGTTCAATTTCAAATATATTTACTAATTCTCCTATTTTTTAAAACTATTGATGTTTTAAAATAATAAATTATTGAAATCTCACAGTAATCTTTCTTTTCAGTCTGAATACGGTCTCACCGAGGAACAAGTTGCAGGTAACATAAATTCCAATAAATAAGGTAATTAGTATGGTCTTTGAATCTACGCTTGTTTTATTATCTGTGATAATACAGTTTCTAACGGCGTGTGGCCGCCCATAAAAAAAAAAAAACGTCGACATTAAATCAACTTTTTGCAAATTAAACGAGTGCTTTCAAAACGTTAAACTTGCTATGTTATGTTACGTTAAATCTCAAATTACATGTTTAATATCACTAAATATTTTAAAGGCGAAAGTTTAGATGGATGTTTGTTAAAGTTTGTAGCCTAAACCGTTGAATGGATATCAATGAAATTTGGCACAGACTTAGAGGATAGTGATAGACCTTATACAAGAATTTAGATATTGTTTACAATCAGGTGTTGTGCATTATCCTGTCCAAGGTTGTTTCAACCAGTTAATATAAAATGCAATTAAGCGAGTATTTAATAATTTAGCACAAGTGTAAAGACCTTTATCTGATTTGGGTTCTTAATGTTTCCTGTTTTATTTATTTTGCAAGCCGTTATTTTTTATACCAATTACGTGTGTACGTGTAAGGTATTAACGCTCTGGAATTCGAGGCTTTTCGAGACACGAACAATGGGGCCTGCCTTTTTGTCGGTACGCCTACGTTTTAATATTACTGTAGGCTTGTGATTTAATAATAAAAAGATTATCTTTAATACTCACATATTACAATTTATTAATTACTAGCTGTCGCCCGTAACTCCGTCCGGTCCGCGTGAAATTAGAAAAAAAAACAAAAGTGAGTAGCCTATGTGTTCTTCCAGAGTATCCTCTACGTCTATGCCAAATTTCATCGAGATCCGTTCAGCCGTTTAGGCTACAAACTCGTAACAAACATCCATCCATCCATCTAAACTTTCGCATTTATAATATTAGTATGAAGTATGATTTGTATGATTCCATATAAGATCTTTGGTTAGGGATTAATAAAGAGACAATACATGTGCACAAAAAAATAAAAAACATAAATTTAAACTTACTTGCTACTAGACCTTTGTAAAACTTTTAATCTATTCAAAACATCAGCTCACAGTCTTGATCCGTTGAGCTGCGGCTCAACATAGCAGCTCACGGCTCGACGCGATGTATTAAAACTACATACTGTCCGATCTCGCAACGCAAATTAAAAAACAAACTGAGCTGATCTGACTCGATTCATAGATCTGCGAACCGTCAGCTCTAGCAATGGTCCTTATGAAAAAATGTACATTGTTTTTCTTGTTAGAATTCAAGGAAGCGTTCATGCTCTTCGACAAAGATGAAGATGGCACCATCACTATGGCGGAGCTTGGAGTTGTGATGCGCTCCCTCGGACAACGACCCTCAGGTATGTATGAAACAAATATATTTACATGCAAACCTAAAACTAAATTAACGCACAACTGTTTAGTCTCGTTTTAATTCTTATAAGCTTATATGTGGATGCGCACACTATTCAATTTTTTTAAACAGTTGAATTGGCTGCGAAATAATTGACGATCGCACAACAGTTCTGCGACAGTTTAGTCCAAGGTGTGCGCCCGCTCTAAAACACACTACAAATGCTCTGTTCTGATAGATTTCACTGGATAGAAGAATTCTTCATTCAAAACTGCATGTAGGCATTAAAACTGTGCTCGTTTGCCCGCTTTTCTTATAAAAAGGCAAAATAACTATAACTGTCAATTAAACAGTTCAGTTAGAGTTTTTTTTTATAACATAAGGTGGCAAACGAGCAAGCGGCCACCTGAATTCGCCAAAATGGCGAAGCGACCGCTGCCCATAGACATCCGCAATTGCAGATGCATTGCCTACCCTTATCCGATGGAGGAGGAGACGCAAATAAAGAGGATAGTAATATCCTCTTTATTTGCGTCTCGAAGGGGTAACCCTTCCTATGCATCACCTCTACCGTCAAATCCACTTCCCGTTCCCATCCTCTCATTATAAGAACAGGGTGGTAGGGTTTTACTTGGACTACGAGTATTCAGTTAAAACTACCAGAACGGAGAGTCGGTTTTTTTATAAATATCAACTTTGTTCTAAGTCTTTTATTAAGCAATAACACACTCTAATGTCTAGCCCATAAAGTGTGAATTTGATACTAAAACGTTAGAATAGATCATTTGAAAACGATTATTTATTAAGAAATTATAAATCTTTATTGGGAACGTAAATAGGAGTAGCTATATTTCATTATATTTGGCGCCATCAGCACTGATCAAAGGGCCGTTTGATCTGTTACACGCAATGTTTACATTCCTAACTGCCAGTGGCATTTCGTCACGTTTTTTAACATGCAAAATACAGCTGTTTGATAATTTGTCTAATATTTTAAAGATAATATATGTTTGTCAAAGATTAAACTTATACGTATTCTTATAATTAAAATATTACGTGAACAGTCGAGAACTTTTATTTCCTACCCATTTCTGTGTAATGACATTTAAAACAATATGGTCGGAAACTCATCACAACAGATACCTGATTAATGCTCTTATCATGCTCTGTATATTCGACCCTAAGTAAGTCATCATCTCCCCTACCTTATCGTACTCTCGTAAGGTCGGCGTACCGGGTTTTCGTCATCCGAATAACTCCATCATCCGTCATCTCAGTCATCACTCCCTTCTTGATCATGTCATCTTTCATGCAATCCAGCCATCTCTTTCTTGGTCTACCTCTACCGGTGTACCTCTACACTCATAACTAACGTTCCTCTTGTTACATGCGATTCATCCTTCTTTTCTATTCATTCGATTCATTCATCTTTCTATCCTAAGTGGGTAGTGAATTTAATTCTTTCACTGCAATGTTATTATATAAGGGCGTTGATTTGAATCGTTACAATGTCTTTATAGTAAACACTTTTAACCCAATGTCATCAGTTACAGCGGTTACGTTGCTAAGAGATGCTCGTATTTCGCTTAACCACAAGTTATGTGTCCTAGATATGTACCGGCGCTGTTGCATTTGTTTGAATGTGTTGTTTTCTATAAGAGAAATAAAAAATTAAGTAATGTGTTCTTGCAGACTTTGTACTACATTTTTGACAAATTTAATTGAAATCTGTTAAGTCGTTTTGGAGATATTTAGTAACAAATATCCATTTATAATTACTTAATTTAAGCTTTGTTGCATTATTTGTGCAAAAATATTAAATAAATAAAATCAAATGATTATATTTTATAATTTTGTACATGTTATAAATAATTTATATCTAAGTATCATTTTTTTAAATTTTTCGACTATTAACGTATCTATATGACGGAACCAATTAGGGACTTTCTAAAGGTGTTACTATGTTCTAAATCTCTTGTCATGACAACAATCATTATAGCAGTGAACGTTAAAGTTTGTTTAACGAGATTCATCATTCCCAAACTGATATCAATAATTTGACGTAACTGCCAAAGCCCTTGCCAAATGCGTCCCCAACTGCCGAAGAATGACTATTAATAACTGAGAAAATAAACTGTTGACAATAAACGTTTCTTCCTACATATCTATACTAATATAATAAAGCGTAATTATTTGTAGCCTAAGATGTCAGCAATTACAGCATATTTTCGAATAACTCTTTTTTTAATAAAAAGCCCTACACTTACGTCACGCTTTAGGCTATATATTTTCACGCTATTAAACTTAGGAAGTAAATATTTTGGATAAAAACCCTAATGTGGGAAAACCATAAGTTGTTGCCAACGTCAAGGAAGCAAGGTTGCCAAGGTTTGACATCATGTCATGTCATTTTGACATATGCAATTGATAATTTGACAAATGTGAGTAATAAAATGATTTTTTTTATAATTTTATGCGGATGAAGTCGCATGGGAACAGCTAGTTTTTTTTTTTTTTTTACTCTTGAATTTAAAATTTGATAAACAGGGACTTATAACATTAAGGAAAATAAAAGATCTATACTATACTAATATACTATCTATACTTCTGTCTATATAATCTATACTTCTATACTAATATATTAAAGCTTAAACACACACGTATTTGTGGCGTAGGAAGTCAGCAACCACAGTATATTTTTACACACCAGAATTTCAAAATACCAGATTTACACACACAGCAAATCTGGAATTTTTCATTTGATATTATAAACAGACACTTCAATTGTTGACCGACTTCCCAAAAGAAGGTACTCAATTCGTCTGTAAGTTTTTTTTATGTGTGTTACGGCATAACTCCGCTGCCAGTGGACCGATTTTGATAATTCTTTTTTATTCGAAAGGTAATGCTTGCAGGTGGGTCCCGTTTTGATTGATTTTTATTACATGTATAAATAGGTATATTATCGTGTAAATTAGTGGATGTTTAAAATAAATATTCTTTGCAAATTTGCCACGAACAATTAAGTAAAAGCCATACCCATGTTAGTACATTTAATTCGTGCAGATTAACATTATCTACCCACGTGATTGCCTTTAGGAGAGAATACAATGGATTTCCTTGTTTAAAATTTCTCAAAAAGGTCGAGTATAATAAATTACTAACAATTGTACTGTAACAAATAGTTTTCAACCTCTATCGTACGTACCTTAATTTTGTATAACTATACTTTTTGCGGAAGATCGGATGGAAGTTTAGTGGCTTAATGGATTTCGATGAAATTTGCTTGGTGTCAAACATAATCTGGTAGAACACTTTTTTTCACTCATAGTCGCGAGTAAAAGCTAATATTATATGTAGACTATGTTACTGGCATATAATGTAACATTCTAATGCTGAAAAAAATAATAGAAATCAGTTTAGTAATGCTTGAGTTAGCTTCCAAAAGATCAATAAATAATAATAATAATAAATTCATTTCAACAAAAAGTGGTTACAGAAAATTGACCCAGAATTTCAATTTTGAAAAGATCAAATATTTACTCTTTATAAAAATACAGCAGATTATAAAAATAATGCGTTGGGATCAATTTCATTTAATCACAATGTCCTCGAGGAAACCTTATTTGTTATTATCTGTAAGTTCCTTTCTCGTTTTTTTTTTTAATTCAATTTTTTAGTTATGCACACGAAGTGTTTACGGCCAGTTATATGAGAAGGTCTTATTGTACAACCTTTAAATTCCTGGCCAGATTAATTATTATTTTTAATAATGCTGCGTTAACTACCGTAAATTATTGGAACAAAATACAAAAAGGACTTATCACAGGCCCCGGCGAGATTCGAACTCACGATCTCCTGTTTACTAGACAGGCGCTTTAACCAACTAAGCCACGGCGCCGATGAGCGCTTCGACGAAATTATCGTCTTATTTATGTTAACAAAAAAATCTCAAATTGTACAAAATTAATTCGTTTATAAATTATCTGGAAAATTTAAATTAATAATTTTCAATCAGACCACACAAGGCCATAATTCAGAGGCAAAGTTATCCCACAATTGTTACTCTCGCATATAAATCATGGGATTTCGCTTACAGCGGTCGTTCCCGTGAAATCCGAGCACTAATAAAGCTCGCCAAAATTGCATTGCTTCATTCCCTTTTTGTTTATTACGGAATAAAACTGTAGTTATAATAACCTATAGATTTACCTGTCAAAAATATCACTTGGAAATCCAATGAAATGTATTGGAGTTATATAAAAAAATGTTTCTGGGATACTTTTTATCAAGTTTTTTTTTTTATAATAATTATGTTGGTTCTAATTCTCTAAACACATAATTTCAGAGACTGAACTGAGAGACATGGTGAAGGAGGTGGATCAAGACGGCAACGGCACTATCGAGTTCAATGAGTTCCTCCAAATGATGTCCAAGAAGATGCGCGGGGCTGATGGAGAAGATGAACTGAGGGAAGCTTTCAGGTAACAAGTAAATGAATTAGTCAATTTTCCCAGATAAGAACAGCTATGGACGTACCCTTGCATCAGTGTGCGAAAAACGCAGTGTGCAGGGGTGGCGGCAGCTTGTGTAGCGGGTCACTGATACCTGATACGCGATAACTACGAGTCTGTAAAGACTCAAGCCACGAAGAAGAAGAAGTAAACATATTGTAAACAATATATAGCAACACAGGCTTTATTATTATATAGTAATCCGAAAGTGCCAATGATAGAGAAATAGTATAACGAATGGTCAGCTATAGAAAAATTTTACGGAGAGATAAAGACCATATAAGTTTTAACGTAATTTAAATAACTGTGGATGTTTTCAATGATATAAAGTCCAAATAAGTTATGGACGTTGACCCCCGTAATGCAATCATAAACCTAGAAGAAATCAGCTATCGCATTAATTCTAGTTGTGTAATTCCAGGGTATTCGACAAGAACAATGACGGTTTGATCTCGTCTGTGGAGCTGCGCCACGTGATGACCAACCTGGGCGAGCGGCTGAGCGAGGAGGAGGTAGATGACATGATCCGGGAGGCTGACCTCGACGGTGACGGCATGGTCAACTACGATGGTAATATTCTAACGATAAGTGCTCGTCAATGATTATTCTTTCGATTCTTATCTTTACTGATATTATAAAGAGGATTGATTTGATTTTTGGATTTTTTGATTTTTGTATGTATTGAAATAACTCAAAAACTATTGGACCGATTTAAAAAAAGCTTGCACCATTAAAAAGCTACCTTATTAGTGAGTAATATAGGCTATTTTTTATTATTTAATTTCACGCAGATGAAGTCACAAGCAATAGCTAGTTTTTAATAAAAAAAATAGGAAAAAGTGGTAGTCTTAATGGTGAAGAAGTTAATTCTTAACTTACTTCTAACTAATATTTTAAATGCGAATGTGTGTTTGTATGTTTGTTATTACGTGTTTTCAAAATTGATTACTTTATCTTGTTGAAATTAGATAAATGTAGAACAGAGACTGGGATTATTGTTATAGTTATTAGAGTTTGGAATAAGACTGTCCGCACCTTGCAATAATCGCACAACCGTTGTGCGATTGTCGATTGTTCCGCAGCCTTCAACTGTTTAGTTGTACAACTAAAAATCGATTAGTGTATACCTCCATATAAGCTTATAGGGATCAAAGCGAGACTAAACAGTTCTGCGATAGTTTAGATTCAGGTTTGCACACTCTCCGAGGCTATTGGATAATAAAAAAAAAAACATATCGACGAATTGAGTACCTCCTTCTTTTGGGAAGTCGGTCAAAAAGCATTATCAGACGTAGTTGAGTAGTCTGAAGTAGTTGTTTATTGTATTAAGTAAAATGTTTTTTACAGAGTTCGTGACAATATTGACATCGAAAAACTAGTATGCAGAGAAAAGGCCACCAAGAGATCGTCCCCCGCCCGTTCCCAGACAGTGCTCTCACCACGAACTGTTCAGGTTCGGAGGGAAAGAAACTCTTATATAGTTGCCAAATACTCTGAACTGGAACGTAAACGAATGTGTTTCCGTTCGCGTATAGTGAAGTACCCAAGTGTTAACGCAAATAACGTTATTACTACATTTTAGATGCGCTTTACCGCAGTGTTTAGATGTGTGAAGTGTAAAACATTGTAAAAATATCATAAAATTCAATACAATCGCTTTATGATGTCTTTTTATTGTTTTGGAACATATTTAATGAATGAATGTTTGTTTAAATGTATCATTTTATTGGTGTCCAAATTAAAGGAAGGCAGGGTAATCTGCACATCACTACATAATTATCGCCTTCAAAATTAGAATATAAATTATTACGATCAGAATAACATTTCTAAGGATCCGTACAGCGTCGCAAATAGAAAATATCTCCTTAGTACATTTTCTTACTAAAAAATCACTTTTTAAATTTTTTATAAATCGCTCTAATAAATAAATTTCAATAAATATAAATAAATGACTGGTATTTCATAGCTTAAATGCGGTTCGATTTTTACGTATCGTGGTGAGAAAATTGTGTATATGACGAAAAATTCGAATATAACAGATAATGTGAAATCATTTAAAATAATTTTTATGTAATATCTCAAATTTACATAACCGTTATAAAATAAGACTGTTATATACACCATCAGAAAACACTTATTGGTTTAAAAAATCACTTTGTTTCTTTGAAAACATCACACTTGAATATAAGATCATTTATATAATGAAATAAAATAAAAAATATATAACTGCATACCATGTAGCAATCATAGATGTGTTAAGAATTATTGAACTCTAAAACTACAGATTCTTCGGTTATACTGTTTTCCACATGAGGAAAATTTAGTGATGTCACGAAGAAAGAAAAGTCATCATCTCCCCTGCCTTATCCTACTCCCGTAGGTTCGGCGCACCGGGTTTTCGTCCTCCAAAGCATTCTATCATCCGTCATCTCAGTCATCACTCCCTTCTTGATCATGTCCCCTTTCACGCAATCCATCCATCTCTTTCTAGGTCTACCTCTACCGATGTACCTCCACATTCATAACTAACATCCTTCTTGTTACATGCGATTCATCCCTTCTCATACCATGCCTATACCACTCTAACCTTTTACTCCTTATTTTCTCAACCACTGGGGCTACTCTCAAACTTCCTCTAATAAAGAAGAAAGAAAAGTGAGTCGACTAAAGTAGGAACGATGTTTGTTGGTTAACTAATAAACCTTCAGAAAATACGATATATTAAATACTAGTGTAATGTTCGTGTAAGATAAACGAAAAAGTTCAAAGAAGTTTGAATCTTGTAACATCTTTATTAGTTGAATTCGGCTGTAATTTTTATGCGTGTAGGCTATAATCACTGATCTGTATAAATGGACAGGTGATTGTTTGGAAACGGCAGCTTTTGCTACGTTCTGACTTCGCGCCTTATGAATTTAGTGGTAATTATGTCTTATCACTTATTATAATAGTTCGAAAACTCTTCACCGCGGCCAACCATAACCATTAGAGTCTGCGTTTATAGCCTGTCCATTTATATAGGTCGGTGGCTACATAATTAACTGTGTGAATTAGAGGTAGATAAGCAGAAATGTGTGCATTGTATTTTGGTGTCGTTTCTTTAGGGCCTGTCCCACCAAATCGTAAATTGACTGATAACAATCTAACGTGTAAAATATGTGATGGAAATATCGGATTTTGTTCCCTTATCTGACAGTGACGACATTTTTAGGCTATCTGAGCCTCTATCAGCCAGTGGTGGGACAGGCCCTTAGTCTTCCAATTAGCGGAGGTTGACTGAAAGTTAAATTACGCCAAATCAAGTTCATTAAGGTTACGAGAAGGTGGGAATAAAAAAATATTTATAAATCGTAGAAGTTCGATGTAAAATGCTGTAACTCTAAATTTTAAGATATCTCGTAATTTGTAAAATTAAGATTGGATTTAACAATTTAGAGAAGAGATAAAGGGTACGTTTGTTGACAACGTAATAGATTTTAGTCTTTATTTTCGAGTGTTTAAAGTTGTTTTTATTATTGAACACTTCGTTGCATTGCTATATTCGTGTTTATTTCATATTTATTATATGTATGACTGAAATGTATGAATTCACCAAAAAATACTCTATCAAAATTTAAATGTCTTTCATAGTCATATTTTTAGAGAAAAGCGATTTATTTTAATTAAATTTGATATTACTTTATTTAAATAAATATATTTTTTTTCGATTCTGATTTTGAAAAAGGAATAAAACAGATGTTGTTAGTGATAAAAAATGGGCTTCCCCATGAGTGAAAATAAATTCGACAATTGTTATTAAAATTTATTAAAATAATAGATATATTTTCTTTTATAGAGCCCATATTTCTTGGAAATTAAAAATGTTTTTTTTTAATTGATGACAATAAATCAAAAGATTACGTCAATTTTCATATTCCGAAATTCAATATATTTCTTGATATTTTCTAAGTTACGTAAATACGCATATCACGAGCAATAAAATATATTCAAATGAGATATTTTATTTCCAAAAAAAGATTTCTATATTTACATGAAATTATTTTAATGAAATGTAATTTTTATATTTACTTTATTTTAAGAATTTTTATGTGGAAATTATATTTACATGGGAAATAAAGATTAAGTTATTTATATTATACGAACGATTTATAATCTATAGATATAGATAGATGGAGGTTTTATTTAAATTTGACGTTCAATAATGATCCAAAATTCGAAATGTCATTTTGTACTGTAAATCTAGACACAAAAAAGGCCTCGGAACAACTTTTTTTGCCTTTTTTTGCTCCAGATTAATATCTGTAGGTTATATCTATATACCATTATAAATTAATACATTAAGAGCGCGCGCCTTTGACTAAACTAAACTTTGACTAAAAAAACTAAATCAAACAACTCTTTAATCGCTCTTTGATTCCTATGAGCTTGAACTAAACAGTTGAAGGCTGCGGAACAAAAGACAATCGCACAACAGTTGTGCGATATAAGTGTGCGCCCGCTCTTAAATATATACTTATTTTAAAAGATAACTAACCATGCGTTAATCATATCTTTGAAACTATAAAATATAATGCTTTGATTGTATTTAATACTGTTTGAAATAGATTGATAGTTGTTGAAAATGAATAAGTAATATATATCAGGATTAGGGTTGTAACAGAGGCCATTTAACCGGAAGCGGATGCGGATGCGGAGGCGAAGGGCTTCACCTCTGCAGAAGCTGAGGTTAATAATAAAATATTAATTGCGATTTATTAAAAAAAAGTAAAACTACGTTAATTCAAAATACAGATTGGTACATAATTACAAGATACAGTTTTTATGCAAATTTATTGTATAACAATTAAAGTTAGTCGAACTAGCACAACAGCCTAATCGCCCTATTCGCGTTAAAGACGTAAATTAACCTCCGTTATAGCTCCGCATAAGAAATAACGGAAACGGAAGCGGATGCGGAGTTAATATTTCTTGCGGAAGTTCCGCACTTGCGGATGCGGAAATGGAGTTCCGTTACAGCCCTAGTCAGGATATAAAGATTTGATTAAAAAAACTTATCCGTGTAACTATAAGTTATGAAGGTACGATGTTATTTTGCACGTATAGGAAAAAATCTATGTTACAGTGAAATTTATTTCGTAAATTGTCAATATGTACCAACATACAGATATATTTATTGTGTAATTATTGTCAAAAAAGATGTTTAGCCTATGAGAAAGGCTGTTATCGGTTTTGTCAGAAAATATGTTAAAACGAATAGTTATAGAGAAAAATTTAATAAGAGGGCGCTAGTGAGTTAAAATAATTCAGTTCCACTTATGTGCATCGGTCAAAAAAGCTGTTGGTCTATAGCTGAATACCTCAGAGTTGTTAGAGGATTGTGTGTTCTTGTCATGTGACCTGTGTGTAGCTATTGAAACAAATGTATATTTATGATTTGTTTTTATTTCAAAGTGTACTTGGTTTAAAACGTAAGTGTAATAGTTTGAATTAATCCGGTAAATAACGCTCAGTTTTCAGTTAAGACGGAGCGTCTCTAGTCGGCTTTGTTCATATTTAACCGACCGAGGTTATATTTATGAATTTTTTTGTCTATCAACAAATTGAGAAAGTGTTCGTACTAAATTTTATTAGACGTCATTTTCCTCAATGCATCGGTCAGAGTAATTTTGGAAGATATCCAAATACCAGAGCTATGAAATAGAATATAATTTTGATTAATATTATGTCACCAACTACAGTTGTATTTGTCTGTACTTTGACATATCGATTCGATATGCCAAGACATAATAACTGGTAATTCGTTTCCCATTGTAATTAGACTAGAATTAAATTCTAAAATGTGTTTTCATTTATTTTAATTAAAATAAGAATGTATTGTGAGCTCGCGCACATCTTTGACTAAACTATCGGACAACTGTTTAGTCGCGCTTTCATTTCTTTGCGTTTATAAATGCGCACACTACTTGGTTTTCAGTTGTGCAACTAAACAATTGGATTAAAAAAAAATGCTGCGAAACAATCGACAATCGCACAATAGTTTAGTCAAAGGTGTGCGCCCGCTCTTCATATTGGAAATTATTCATGTGTGTAATACATACTATGTTTGTTTGTTTAATAATAATAATAATAAAACTTTTCCAACTGGTACTAAATCATTTTTGTCGCCACTCATTTCTTAATATTATTTGTAAAATGACGTAGATTTGTTTAATTTGATCTATTTCTAAATGTAGTCATATGTCAGATGTAATTTATACGACAAATAATTGTGGCGTGTCTGTTGTTTAGATTAAGTTTATTCGATGATAAATCGCTAAGAAAACTTATGTCTGCTAATGTACTTAGTGTGAAAATATTAGTGTGGTTTTACATAGATTGTAAATTGTTTTACAAGTGTTAATGTGTAGTGTACAGTCGGGTAATCTAGCGGTGTTTCATAAAGCTACATTCGATTGAACGTTTTGGAAGATTATTCCCAACCGTCACCCTGCTGCCCCCACGTAAGAATAAAAAGTTTTATCCGTCCCACCTATAAGTCTCTCTATTACCAATAAGGGGACAGATGGAACCGTTATGAAATAAAATAAGTTCTAACCGCATCGCAGAAGGTGGGATAGATAAAACATTTTATTCTAACATGGGGACAGAGTGGGGTGACGCTTGGGGATAATTCGTTTTGAACGCATTACGACGCGGAAGTAACCAATAGGATGCAATATTTAAATATGCTATTAAAAAAGTGATACACCGTTTTTTAATATTATCTCGTCGTTTGTGCTACTTACCTGGTTGTTGTAAGAGGCGGAGTTTGCGTAAGTAAGAGAAAGATGAAGAATTTTTCTCTAAGTGTAACACCGCGGATTTTCGCGACAGTACAATTGGCTTTTATATTAGCGAAGCAAGTTTTTAA